AGAGAGAGAGAGAGAGAGAGAGAGAGAGAGAGAGAGGACGAGACAGGGTAAACCTACGGATAAACACGAAACGAGACCAGAAGAGAGACCAGAAGAGAGGTTCGCGACTGTGCGAGCTACATGGTACGTAGTAAGTGGGGACACGATGCAGCGGAGGTTCGATGTGCGGTCGTAAGAGCGACCGAGACGGTCGAGAAAGGTGTTGGAACGGGAGGAAGAAGGAGAGACCAGGTTGAAGAGGGGAACCCGGGTTCTGAGTTGCCTATCAGCAGTTGCTTTTACGGAGTGGTGGAAAGCTGGGCGTACCACGATAGCGAGTTCTCGCGGCAGCCGGCAGATGTCGAGTGGTCGCGCCCCTAGACAGGGTCTTCACCCCTGAAAAGGTCAACTCAGGGGCGTAGCGGTCGTGGAATCGACGCCCAGAAACGCCCATCGTCGACCCTCCCGCCGCTTCCTCGCCGCAGACGGTTCGCGGCAACCAACTGGACAACCAGCAACCCGGCCTGGATCCACAGCGTCGCACAACCGTTCCGTTGAAACCCGCGTCTCTCTACCTAGCCGCCGTGTGTGTTGTGGCCAACACGTTTCCATCGAAGGGATCCCCTCAACCTCTGGGGCATCGTCGTCTCCTCTTCCGGTCTCCGGCCTCCGAACATCGCTGGCCGCCGGTTCTCGACTCTTGTTGTTTTCCTGCTCTCCTCGCCGACTGTTGCTGTGCGCGTCGTTTCGTGAGCGTTTCGCACGGTTCGCACGTTCGTCGTCACGCAGCTGGATCCGGATGGATCGGTGGTCCTGGATCAGGGTCCAATCAGGCTTGGAAAGGCACGGCCGGTACAACGGTAAACGGGAAAAGTGAGAGTGCAATGGATTATGGGCCTGTGGGGAAGATTTCGAGGCGGCACGAGAGATTAGTGATGACGAGGAACATCGGCGAGGACGACACGGTTCGTTGTCGCAGTTTGAACTATCCGAGTATGTCGAAGTAATGAGCTCGATCGACTCGGGCGGACTGGTTCTTAGCGCGTTCGGTTCGGTGAGACCGGTTATCAGGGGAAGATGAGAGATAAACTCGTACCTGGTCGCGGTAAACCGTCATGAACTGGCCTGAACAGTGTCCGTCGGCAAAGAAACCGGGGGAAGAGTACTCTGCGCGCTCGGGGAGTAGAGTCGAATCGGAGTAGCGCG